CAAGTTTTATCTGTAAAATAAAAAGGTTTCCTTCAAACCAATGGACGGATAAATAAAGAATACATATGCTGTGTTTTCACAATAAATATGATAGCAATGGAAATAGGAAAATTTAAGATCAATTAACCGTAGTTCAGTAAGTACCACTACTTATTTGGCAGGTTGTAAACACAACATATACAAAAGCAACAGAAGTTTCAGGGAGATTTGACATTTATCAAAAGCTACTAACTTAATTACAGGATTTATTTTATGAATGGATCTTACCGCCATCAGCATGGCCACAGTCATGGGTCCTACTCCACCAGGTACAGGAGTGATGAAGCCAGCCTGCTCCTTAGCTGAGGAATAGTGGACGTCACCCACCACCCGCTTCCCACTGGGTTTAGTTTCATCTGAAATGTATATCAACTTCAATATCACCAGCGACATCCACTGAGTTCATTTCAGAGCCCCACGATGACTCCAGTACAGAAACAGTCAAACCTGGAATGTGGTTGATGCCACAGTCGATGACGACTGCTCCCGGCTTGATCCACTCTCCTTTCACCATCTCTGCTCGGCCGATTCCAACAACCAGGATGTCTGCCTTTTTTACCTACACACAAACAGTGATGGACACAAATGAACTGATCCATAAGAAACAGAATATCATGTGCAACACTTTACATAGAGTATATTACATTTAACAAGACTCAACACATCATTTTTCTAAATAGGGTAATAAATGACATTATGGTTTAAACCACTTGGTGGCAGCAAAGATTTGAAATTGCAAATATGAGCTTAGAGTCCATTGTAAACGGGCCTGTTTGTTATGGGCTGTTTGCCTGGTCTGTGTTAGTGCTCCAGAGCTACTTTATCAGTTATCAGTAAATCCTCCTCAATCAGTTTACAATATAATGGTTTAGAGTCAAGTTAGAAAAGTTTATCCTACCTGGTTTATCTGTAAGAAAGATTTAAGAGTCTGTGCTTTTCATAAAATGAGACATAATTTGCTTTATTTTACTGTTCCCGTGTTGCTCATATGCAAGTTGAAGGTTTATTTAATTGCTGATATTTTTCATACATTGCATGTCGGCTATTTCAGAGGTCTGATAAACTATCAACACAATCTTTAGAACCAAAGTTCAAGTTTTTCAAAATAAAAGCTTGATAGCTCAGCTCAATATAGAGCATTATAGTAACGAATAATGTTTTGCTTTTGCTTTGAAGACAAATTGTCAAACAAGAATTATATGAATGTTGGTGAATTAAAAATAATTAAATTATCAAAATGCCCGAGTGGAGATTTAGACCAGTGGTTTAACCCAGTTGCAGAAGAAGACCATGTTCACCACATGCTGCCTCGCCCCCACTGACTGCTACAGTATGCTGTTTCTCTGTTATTTCAAATTTGATTAATTTGCCACCTTCTATAGGTTAGGTCATCTCACCATCATCATCACTATAGAGAAATGAAGAAAGATGTTTGCTTGGAAAAAACAGAAACCAGCCAAACTGATAATCTGGCTGGTGTGACATTCATGATGGTGATATCTGACTTCCCTCCCCCAGTCGGACTAGGGTGTTGATGTTGTACCTCTTCAGGGAGATCAGCAGTTTTAGAGTGGCAGGTGGTGACAGTGGCGTGGCTCCACAGCAGCAGGTCATGCATTGGCGCACCCACGATCTTACTGCGGCCAATCACTACAGCTCTCTTCCCTGCCACGGACACACCTGTAGAAATGCAGGCAGCAGGATTACACACAGAACTACTGAACGGATTTCCAAGAAATCTGGTGGAAGGATGGAGCACAGGCTGTTTATTGACAGGATAGACAACACGAAACATCCAATGTTTTTAGTGTCTGTGTTTACCAGTCTGTCTGATCAACTCCATGCAGCCATTTGGTGTGCAGGGGATGAAGCAGTCGCCCAGGTCCCCGCGAGATAGCTTCCCTGCATTTATGCTGGTTAGCCTGCAAAACATACAAGAATACATAAAATATCACAAATAATCCAGGTCTACAGGTCTAAAAGTAGCTGAGCCAGATCCTTCTTTCATATTCACTGAAAGGAAGCAAGGAAACACACCGACTCGATCCATAAAGGAGAGTAGGCAAACCTTCAAGATGATTACATCTTCAGTTTCATGTGTGCTCTTACCCGTCTACGTCCTTCTCTGGGGCCACGGCATTTGTGACCTTCTCTGTGTCGATCTTGTGGATGGAGTCTAAGGGCAGCTGCACGATGAGGCCATGGATGGACGAGTTCTCATTCACCTCTGTAATTTTGTGAAGAACCTACAGACAGACAGAACTTTACACTCTCTGTGCACGTAAAGTAACTTGGGAGCATTATTATGCACGGCTGTAACCTCACCTCCTCCTCCGTTGCCGTTTTGGGAAGTTTCATATGTGCGGCATTTATTCCAATCTGCATCAAAAATATTAAAGAGTTTGAGCCTAAAGTTACAGTGAAAGTAAATACAGATAAATGCTGCATGTAAATCTCTTGAATATCAGAAAGTGCTCGCATTACCTCAGTTGCTGCCTTCAACTTCATGCTGATGTACAGATTTGAATCATCACGGTCCCCCACCTGCAATGATATGAAGAATCACTTTGCCTGATCGTATGAAGGAACGTGCCCCTTTTGCCATGCAGATACATAAACACATCCATCTACAAAAAGAGACACCCTGCACATGACTCATGACGAATCCCATCTTGCACGTACCTGTAAAACCACTAAACCCGGACTGAAGTTGGGGTCCTGAAGCTTCATCTGCGCCACATCATCCTTCAGACGCTGCCTCACCTGCCTGAGAACCCATGATAACAGAAAAATCACTGTGCATGCTGAATCATGAAAGAAAAGGGTCAACATACTAGGCAACACATTCCCTTTCCTACTGATTTTGTATTCAGATATAGCAGCCAGCAGGTTATGTATTGTGAATCTGGTAATCATTTTCCAGTCCCCTGGCAGATGATAAACCAGGAGTCAGAGTCAGATCAGGACACTTGTCCTATCTTTGGTCTTTATCTTTATTCATGTTCATGGTTGTGATTTATCTCTTCAACTCAACATAAAGATGAGGCTGAGCCAAACGAAGACTGAGCGACACAAAAGTGACTCAAGGTTAACTGGAATTTAGCAATCCATGATGAGCGTGAACATGGATGCATGAGGCGAAGGAGTGACACCAATTTAAACTTCCTTTAAAGTAATCTCAGTGTCCTCAGTGACCTCTCGGTAATTCAGACCAAATGACCATTCTGTGCTCAGTGACAACCCCCATTCAAACCGATATTAGTGTCTCCATTTACCCCACCAAGGAGGTTAAGTTTTCACCCCTGTTCATTTTTTGTTGGTTTGTTTATAACAAGAACACACAAAACAACTCTAAATTTGGTGTGGATTCAAATTATTTTCTCTGTTATCCAAGAGAACAGCTCATAGATCTTGATAAGAACTGATATCTATGAGTGTGTGAAATTTGGCGCAGCTTGATTGAATTAAAGAGGACAGTTGTTGGACAGTGGCAGAGGTATGTGATCTACTGAGTGCTATTCTAGAGTGAATCAACAACTAAAAATCAATCCCAGACTTCATAGAACTGGTCCTAAACATCATACGATTCCTTATTACAATGATAGGTGATAAATGCATTGCTGGTCATTGATTAACTACTGCTATATTCCAATATACTATAAAAGACAAAGTGCAGTAGATCTTCTCAATGCCCTCCCCTATATTTGAAAGAAAACACTTTTGAGTGAAGGAAGGTAGAAAACTACAGTTCCTGAAAGAGAAGGCAGCCTCGTCTATAAAGGTCACTTGTTCTGTAATCTGCACAATCAGCTGTATGTGGGTTTGAGTGAAAGAGAAAACTAGGAGACTGCAGATCACTGGAGAGGTGCAGGCAATTTGTGTTGCACAGAATAATTTAGCTAATGGCCACAGTGAGGGGAAGTTAATAGGGTGCAGGCTGCCATGTCTTGTGACATGCACATGCAACTAAATGACGTGCACTTTCATTTTTTTTCTTTTAGGCAAAAATAATTGCAACTGCAACAGATCTTTGGGTAGGAGGCAATATTTGAATTCATTCAAAGAACTTTAATGAAAACTTAAGTTAAATTAACAAGTTTTTTTTAAGTTCCTCTTGGATTTCTGAGAAGATTGTCAGCACTCGAGGTCACTGGATCAATAGAGCAAAGATCATAACACACCTGCACTGCATCTTACATAACACTGTAGAATCGTTCACTCGTCCAACACAACCTAATGGATCACCACGAAATTTGACAGCCACACGCCAGTATCAACTGTAAGAGCTTGTGCAGCTTGATAAAGAGTCCACTGTGAATCTCTGCAAACTAGTGGCACACTTGATTCACGTGGTCAGCTCCATGTCCAACAAATTCAAACTGAGGTCTGAAGTCTGCTGCGCACCAGCGTCTGAAACCGCAGCAGCAGCAGCAGCGTGTAAAATCAGCATCACACTGGATAAAGCACATGAGGCGTCTGTGTGTCACTTCAGCTGCTGAGTGAACTAAGATAGCTAGTTAGCTCCCACGTTAGCTCGTGCACAGACACATGTGACGCCTGCTTTCCTACATGTGTAACAGTGCATTCAGAAAGGTGCAGTAAAAACAAGGTACTTACGCAGAAACCTCTTTCCCACTTATAACTTGAGCGGACATCTTTTTTGAAGGAAGTGCGTTGCTCCGTGATGTTGGGACCTGCTGCTCATTCGCCGCCTGACAAGAAGAAGAAGTGAAGCGTCCTGAGAACTTCGCCAAACTTCGTCTGGCGATACGTTTGTGACGCAGGCTGCGTTCACACGTCAAGTGTAACCGCAGGAAAACTAGCGTGTGAACTTTCAGGAATAGCGTTGGACGTAAGCCCACGCCTGAGAGTGTGTCGACAGAAGGAGGGCGGGACTTGGAACGCTGTCAACTCCCGAGAGCCAATCGGATATCTATAATAACCGCCAGTGGAGGCTATTGACCAATAGCATTAGAGGAGTGACTGCACAGCCTCTTAAAGCTGTATTACCTGGTTAATGAAGCCTTATCAGACATACTGTAACTTACTCACTGAACTTTATGACCTGGGTAAAAGTAAGAGTTTGTCTTTTTATATTTGGAAGTTAGACTTTTCATGATTTACAGATGAGTAAAGGGAAAGCAATTACCTCTTTGCAATTTTCCAATTATTCTACCTCATGCAGTGAATTGTATTATTTGTATTAGTTTAAATATATTCAAGGCAACAAGACAACTCATAAGTCAGTTTTCCACTAAAAGGCAATCACTTTTTAACAGACGATAACTTTTTAGCACTTTTTAGCAATATAATCTCACTTTATTTAAATCAATTTTCTCATAAGACGGATAGTTGGCATTCCATAAAGCAGTAAAAATATATTTAGAAGTGCAAGGCTAAGTAAATACATAAAAAAGTCTAAATAAATACATTAACTAAATGTCCAACATATTGTTTTGTTTAAGTGTCAAAACATTATTTGAATTCGAATTTGGAAGAAACACAATTCTTCATTATATTCTTAAAACTAATTAAACATGGTTCCTGTTTTTTTCATGTGCATGTATCTATCATCCACCCATGTATCGCTCTTTCTATATATATATATAGATATATATATATATATATATCTTTATATATAGCTCTTTCTCTCTCTCTTTTTATCTATCATCTCTCTATTTCTCTCTCTCTCCCTCGCTCTCTATCACTCTCTCTCTCTCCCTCCCTCGCTCTCTCCCTCTCTATCTTTCTATCTCACAGGAGAGGCTGTAATTAGGCAGAGAGCCAGCAGGGGGCAGCCCTGCATGTACACAGCTCCTCTTTGACCTGTCAGCAGCAGCAGCAGTGTTTATGTTCCTGGGCCTGACGTGACGCTCACTGCAGGTTTGTTTTGATGCCAGCGGAGGTGTCATCACTGCCACTGTCATCAGAAAGAGCTAGAAAACACTACACTCGTTTATCTGACGTTCACTACGACGTGAGACATGAAGAAACACCGGGAGCTATGGAGAGTACATGTTGTGTCCTGAGCGACAACGAAGAGCTGCAAACACGAAACGCCGAGAACAACCTCCTCTCCGAGAGGTAAGTTGTTAGCAAGATGCTAATTTGTCACACAGTGAGGTTTTGGGGGCTCTGTGTATTTCCTGGTGGGTGTGTGGGCGTTACTAGTCTCTGCCAGGGCGTTGTTTTGTTACTGTAAGCTAACTCAATGTAGCTGTTTGCACATAGTCTGTGCCACGTTGCTCCGCCCACTCTCAAAACTGCACCAGGACTACATCGCCGCTCCAAACTAAAGCTCCACTGCACTGAAGCTAACTCTCATGCATCACGTGTCTTTAGGTCCAAGACGCTGTTTGAGGAAATCCGAGCCTCCATCAACAACAATGACAAGGAGGACCGCTCCTTCTGGAGGCCCGTGCTCCCCTGGGGGGGCGTCTTCACCATCAAGGCGGGACGAAAAGCCATATCATGCACACCCCTGTACGTCAAAATCAACCTGAAGAACACATGCACCATCGACGGCTTCCTCATGATCCTCTACGTGATCCTGCGGGACAACCAGGGCTTCCCCCGGGAGCTGGCTGTCTTCCTGGGCAAGCAGTTTGTGGAGTGTTTCCTCTACCTGATGGACTCCTGCGACTACACCACCGTGAAGATGCTGTGGATCTGGGACAGGATGTCCAAGAGACAGTACCGCTCAGAGGTCCACCAGGCGGCGTTGGAGATCGACCTGTTCGGCAACGAGCACGAGAACTTCACAAAGAACTTGAAGAACCTCATGTCCACCATGCAGGAGAGCCTGTGCACCAACTGGAGCTGCCCAGCGCGCTTCCAGGAGTTCATCAAGACCACCATCAACATCAGGTATACTGCACAAAGACAGTACAATATAACATCAGGTGTACTGCACACATCTGGTGTACTGCAAACTTCAGTTATACTGCACACAGACAGTACAATATAACATCTGGTGTACTGCAAACATCAGTTATACTATACACAGACAGTACAATATAACATCTGTTATACTGCACAAAGACAGTACAATATAATATCTGGTACACTGCACAAAGACAGTACAATATAACATCACGTGTACTGCAAACATCAGTTATACTGCACACAGACAGTACAATATAACATCAGGTACACTGCACACAGACTCATATAGTTCAGGTGTGCTGTGTGCAGGTCAGTCTTTCAAGTGGTTTTCGTTTTTGCCCCTTGACATACTAAACCGTAATAATCTCCACCTGGATGCATTCCCTGCTGCCTCACTTTTTTTTAGAAGAGATATTTTCTTTTCACCAAGTAGGTGAAGTCCTAAAGAATGGAGTGTTGTTGGATTTACATTTCTTTTAATGTCATTCTCACATTTTTTTCACCAGCCCTCCTCATGAGCTGCCTCACAGAGACCCCATTCAGTCAGCCATGGATGAGTTCCTCTGCCCCAAACTCTTGCTCTGCTCAGAACTGGGGTGAGATGCGAGGAAGATGTTCGTGACCTTCTGACTCGGTTCAGTCTTATTCCACTTCTGTGACGGATTGTTCGTCTTTTGTTACAGGTGTGATGGTCTGAGGGAGTTCTCTCAGAGGGTCTTCTGCCACGGACCCCCACCCTTTGTCATTCTGAACATGCAGCGGTGGAAGTCAGAGGAGTTGTCCTACGTTCCATACCACTTGGCTCTCTGTCAGCACAGGTATGTTTGGTTTGGAGCAGCATGCGTGGGCCTCACTGTAGTGCAAGTCAATCATATGAACTCCCACTGCACTGACCTGCAGTACTTTGGCTTTGGCCAAGGGCCATGTTTTCAGCTTTTAGGCAGAGATATAAAAACAATTAAAGCTCATAAAAGGAGTCTTTTTAGGAGTCTAAAAAGAGTAGTAAATGGTAAATGAATGCGTATTGAAAGTTAATTTAGTGAGTAAAAATACTGTATCAAGGTAGAGATATGATGGGGTTCCTATGGACTTAATTTGTGCATGTTATGCATGCATAGTTTGCAATATCTCTCTGTGATGTTGTAGTTCTTTCTCAAATGCTATACAGATATTAGCAGTTACAATTACAGCTGTATTAAAACTATAAACAAGACCAACATGGAACTAATAACTGAGTCTAAAAGCACCCTGGTCTGAATTCATCTGAGTACACTAAGCCTGGCTGTGGTAAATGCTATGGATACCTACAATGGATACCTGCCTGTAGTTTGAGAGATGGGATTTTGAGGTTTATTGTTACTTCACCTTATTAAACTTTAGTTATGGGGACATGCAAGTAATTCTGGGACCCTGATATTCCTTCTTATCTGTCGTACATGACTTGGGTCTTAAATTTCTAAATCGAGGGCTTAAATCTTAAATCTAACTTATCAAAACCTCAGTAGGATATAAAAGATCAGAAACAGTTCAGAGCTGCTAAAATTGTTCCTGTTTTTCTTTTACAGAAAGAATGTAGTCCCAGCAGTAAAACATCACGGCAAGATCACTTCCTCTGCATCAGTAGAAGAAAGCTAATTTTAGAAATTAGTTGAAAGACAGTGATAAAATAATGGTTAATTAAAGCTCTTGCTAATTAAAGTGCAACCTCCTTTGAGAAAAAAAAAACTACCAAGTTTTTCGCTGCTGGCTTTGCACTTAGCAAGTGTGAAAAAGAGATGCAAGGGTGTTGAACACTGTTGTGATAGTGTTGCAGCTCTGGCAGCTGAGGTTCTTGTGGAATAAATCTCAGAGGTAGATGACATTGGTTTAAATACATGAATGCATCAAAAGATGTTTAATGTTACAGTCTCTGCTTATGCTTTTTTATGTGAACACCAAGCAGCAGCTGCCACATTTGTAGTCAAATCCATTGTGTGAACTGCCTTTATAATATGGCAGGGTTATGTACATGTCACCACAACACCTCTGACACACCCAAAAAAACGAAAGAAAATGTACCTCCATTCCTGTTAAAGGCTGTTTTTGAGAAAAAATTACGCTCAGTCCTGAAAATCAAACCAAAATGGTGTAAATTCACCAATTGAATGTAATGTTTTTAGACCAGATGCAAATGATTTGAAAAAATATTTTTTTTTTTTTTTACTTTGCCTTTGATGCCACCCTTATCATCATCAAAGAGAAAAACCTCCTGTGTCCTCTTCTCTTCACAGATACTTACTTGAGGGTGCCACACTCTTCAACAAGGAGGAGCATCACTACTCTGCAGCCTTCCAGATTGACGGCTGCTGGATGCACTATGACGGATTGAGGAGCGACAATCTGATCTTGTTACACAAGCCACCGGAGCTCTTGCTGCTGTCCTCTCTGGTCTACATCCGTGCCTCCGAGAAGTGAACTGTACGGAAAAAAGGATGATGAGCAGGAGTCGCACTAAGCATAAGAGTGAAAGCATTCATCACCCTCCCTATCATTATTTTGATATGACCCCATGTTTGGCGTTACATGATTGTAACTATCATCATTTGAATCTTTTAGTAATTCATGTCAGCATTTGCTTCCTGTAGGCTGTGAGAGTGCTTCACCTGAATGCTTACAGCAAGCTCACTGTGCAAAGTGAAAGTTACTTAACTTTTTTTAGGGGCATGCTTGGAATCCAAGAGTATAATGGACTATAATAGTTCTGGGTTGATAATCATAAATGACCAAATCAATGAATAATGCACATTGTGTGAATTATCTGCCACAAACAAGGGACTGATTTGATTTTAAAAACATCATGGCTGTTACATTCATCGCAACAATAGGGGCATTTTCTATTAAGTACATTACATTGGCTGTGTACTACATTTGTACAGTTTTGTATGTGTCTGTTGAACTTTACATTTTTGCATATGAGCCCTTGCTTAAATTAAACTGGTGCTTTTTGTATGTACACTGTGGTGTGAGGGTCAGAAACAAGGTGAAAGTCCCTGTCAGGTTAACAGGTCAGCTTTGTTTCTTACCATGTTTGGGATGAGTGAATGTTAAAGTACTTTTAAATATTACTTGTTTGGCTTCCAGGCCACTAAGCTGGCAGCATTGACTCAGCACATACTGCATTCTCCTCCACAGAAGATATGCTACTTTTTATAACTTTAAAAAGTATTGTTGGTATCACACGGTGCCTCTGCCAATGAGTAAGTGAAAGTGAGCTCTGTTGAGCAAATTCCTTTAACAAGGCAAGTTTTTCTATGCAGACATTGTCTTTCAAATGAAAAATACAAATATTTTGGCCTACATGTGTATCGATTTATTGTGTTGCACGTGCACGTATGAACAGCGTTCAGAGGGTCAAAAGAGCAACATAACAGCAGACTACCTTTTAAGGCAGGCATTTTATTTTTAAACTGGGTACAACTGCACCACACAAACTGACTAGAATGTATGTAAAATGTCTTCAATCAAAAACATGGTCAAAATGTGAAAAGCTACCGTTTTTCTACACCTAAGGTTATCTTGTACTTCCAGTATTAATCCACAGGATATAAAATTCAAGATCATCATCACCTCTACTCCGGACACACGATGGGGGGGAAACGTAAAAGAAGCAGAGTGGTCATTTGGCTAAACATTGACATCAGTTTCAAAAAGGATTTTTTTTCACACAAACATTAAGAGTGACAGGCCGTCGCCGACCAGGTGTTAGTCGTCGTCCATCTGCTCTCTTTGAACAAGCACTTTGGTGAGAGTGGTGGCAAAAAAACATGACATTGGTTAGTTAGGCCATAACAAAAAAAATACAATATACAAACACACCTTCCTTTTGCAGATTAACGTTTGCAGCTTTTCGTCAGCCTCGCTCTAAAAGTAGTAAGTATACACATCAGATAATCATGACATTACACGTAACATTGACGCTAGATGAATCATGGCGGCAGCACATAAATCACGCCTGCATGATTTGTGCTATGATAAAGAGACCTTAACCAAATCTAATACAGTAGACAAAAAATATTAGGTTACAGTACATAAACAATACAAATTATAAATACAAATAAAAAGTGATTCACATCTTCATAAAGTAATTATGCAGGAACATACATTGGTTTGTTTATACTCCACATGGTGATGAGAACAAGCTGCGACAAAAAAAGTTTCACCAGTGACACTCTGACCAACATACAAGGCAAATGTCATTAAAGTGGAAGAGCACATGTCCTGTGGGCCGTTTACATGACTGGTACATGGTAAAAACTGCTGATTTAATAATTATTTTAAAGTGTATACTTCAGTTTGGCCACCAATTAATTAAATTGTGAGCCAGCCATTAGATTCTAGCTAAATAAACATATGCCTTGTACACAATTAAACAGCATGCACAACAAAAAGTCATCACAAAATGTCTAGGATAGGTAGGATGACGCAAAGTCAATGGTACCAAAAGTGGCTGGACAGACATGCCATGTGAGGCGGTGGGGGGGGGTTCAGCAATATGAAATGCCTTGGCTTTTTAAAAGAGACAAACACAAAACACACTCGTCTTCCACACAGGGAACAGAAAAACATGATCTTATTGCATTTTCTAAATGCCGTCAGCCTAAATTATAAAACATATGTACAAATTACAATATGTATCAAACAGTTTGGTAAGTGCAATGCAGAGCTTGGTTTAAGTTTCTATGTGTGTGCAAACGTCAGTGCACAAAGCAACTCAAAACTAGACTTGAACGTGGACAGTGACTCAACAAAGTCGCACCACGAGTAGTCATTTCCTATACTGGCACCCTCTCTATTGCTGTGCGTCGCTTGACCTGTCAGTCAGTGGAGCCCGAGGCTGCACACAGCGACACCCTCAGCCAGCCTGGGGTCATAACACACACCCAGGCGAGCAGTCCGAGTCTGCTAGTCAGGTCTCTCTTCCAGGACACTGTGACGACTTGGCCTGAGTTGGCTAGCACAGCACTTGGTGCTTTATCTTCCATCTCCATGACAGTATGGAAGAATATGATGCTAATACATTAGCAATAATTAAGTGTTTTAATTGTGGCAAAAGAGGGATGTGGTTTCTGGAGAAAAATAAAATAAGGTGCATGTTTTGGCACTTTACATTAAACTGTGAACCAATGACCTCAGACCTGATCTTACATGCAAGACCATAGCTGCATGTGGGTCACGTGGTTGGTAGCAGGTTGGCGAGCATGAAGACTACTTGACACACCTGATCACAGAGCTAAGTGAGTGACATAGTACTGGCAACAGGCACTGAGACAATGGCAAAGCATGCTCATATCCTGCAGTAGGGATCATGTGAAGAAAAATAAATGCCTACAAAAACATTTAATAAATAATAAAAAAAACAGTGCTGATTTTTTTGGGAAAGGGGGAATTATGAGGGCAGAAGTTTGTGGTTGTCCAACCACAGACGTCCCTTTCAATACAATTTCATTTTATTGCATGGTTGGGGCCATTTAGGTTCTTAACCCATTTAAATGCACATAAATCAAGATTAAACATGTAACGTTGCAGTGAAGCAGAGATTGACCTAATTGTGTGAGGCAACACAGACAAACAGCTGAATCCTGAATCCTAAATATAGCACCAGTTGGTATTGTGTACAGACCAAAGGGTGAACATTGGGCCAAGGTCGATTACAACTATTGTGAAGAGTAGCAAGTGCATGACCCGACCTCAAGAGGATGTAACAGAAGCAAGAACATGGGGATTTTTTTTAACATGGCTCCAAGAATGAAGCAGAGACTAGTGGCAAACACTCTGAGGAGAATTCGTCATTCACCTCTTAATTGACCCTTGGAATCAAACTACATACGTACGTTCACACGCGCACTTAGTGACCCAGTGCAGAAAAAACATTTACAGGCAATGCACTATAGGATATATTCATCTATATATTTCATTTAGACCATTTACAATAGAGGAAAAAAGGCAGCCCTTTTTGAGAAAATATAAAGATTCCAACGTTTCTGTTTTGTGAAGCAGAACTCATGGGTCGCTGAGCCCCAGCATCGGTCCTGCACACAAACACGCAACAAAACAATCCTATCTGACATGCACGTACTCCTCGAGCATACACACAGACATACACACCGACATGGCCGACAACCACATATTTCATACAAGTACACAAGCGGTGTTCGACTAAAGTTTGAAGATATGGTTCTGTTTGCAGCAGGGGAATTCAAGAAAAACAATTGTGGGTGTTAAATGGTATAATGGAAATAAAACACAAATGTTTGCTGACATAACAGAATTATGAAAAAAAGTGACAAGATTTCTCCCACAATCCTCTGGGAAATGGCTCAGAGTCCTTATTGTGGTCCAGCAGCAGTAGAGCGGTCGTCTCCTTGTGCCTGTGACAGCCGTCCAATTCTCTTACTTTCTCATCCACGCAACTTTGTAGCTCTTCACCGTTGCAGCCATGTCTGTGGTCCCCCTCTCGCCAGCCAGCTTGCCTGGCACATTGATCCATCCAGCAGGCTCTCTATCTCTCCTCTGGTGTTCCCATTTCTGTGCAGCGCTACTCTGCACCTGGAGGATGAATGTGGGACGGAGGAGGAGACAACAAAAAAGAAAAGTCTTTGTGTCTAAGTTCTCTTATTGGGTCCTAGCCGGCTGGGCCATGGGTCAAAGGGCAGTCAGGCCAAAGTTACAACGGCAGTACAACATGCCGCTTGAGTCCAACCAGCTGTCTGAGATGGGGTCATAGCGCTGGACAGTGTTCAGGTAAGATGACCCGGAGTGACCTCCCACCACATAGAGGTAGTTGTCCACAATGGCAGAACCTACACCTGTAAAACAGTGATGTCACATGTGGCCAGTTAGAGGCATCATTTTCCCTTTATTTGATGCAATACTAACAATAGATGCATTACATCCTCCAAATGTTTAATACTACAAGAATGACTAAGGCATGAACTCACCTGTGCGTGGCTCGTTCATCGGCCGACAGGCTGTCCACTGATTCTGGTGTGGATCATACCTCTCAATGCTGGACAGGTGTGACACTCCATTATGACCACCCACCACAAATATGAAGCCAAGCATGACGCCGACTCCAAAGTTGATTCTCTTATCTGCCATGGGGGCTACCATTTCCCAGGCATCCTTGCTGGGGTCGTACCGCTCCACGCTGCGTAGAACAAAAAACCCCACAATGGTTAAATATAAATGTCAGTTCACTCGAATAAGACATGTCACTTACAGCTGATGGTATAGAGCTGTGCAGACAGTTGTGGTTTTATGTGCCTTGATTTGTAAAGCTCTTAACTGTTGTCAGATTATACTTGAACACACCAACACGTTTTCAAACAAACATTACTCACAGATGCATTACCACACGTCAGGGTTATTATAGTTAACGAAAACTAAGACTAAAACTAAAGATGAAAAAATAATTTAGTTACTACAATGAACAATGCAAAACTAAAACTAAACTGCAGATAAATTCAGCTTCGTTTTCGATTCGTTTTCTCCCTCGATTACTGCCTGTCCTGCAGGTGATGGTTAAAGAATGAAATTAAAGGACTTGATAAACCCTATTTGGTGTCACACGTTGTTTCATCCTTTTTCAGCTTCTACAAGTCAAGGCTTTCTCTTAATACCTGGACAAACTAAAACTAAGACTAAAACTAAATAAAAACTAGTCGATTCCTCAAAATAAAAAACTAAAACTACAAAATCACTTGTTGAACTAACTAAAACTAAACTGAAATAAAAAAGCAAAATGAAAAATTAAATAAAAATAAAAAAATATGAAAATTTCAAAACTATAATAACCTTGCCACACATCAAATCATGTACCATTAGATAATACATCTATACAGCATATCCTATGAGAGTTACAGGGGGAGCTGGAGCCAATCCCAGCTGACATTGTGCAAGAGGCGGGGGACACCCTGGACAGATCTCCCAACATATAGAGACAAAAAAACATTTCGCAGCTATAGTCAATTTTAAGTCTTCAATTAACCTGACATCAATCTGCTTGTCTTTGGACCATGGATAGTCAGAGTACCCTGAGAAACCCCACGCGGATACAGAGAGAACATGTTAACTCTGCACAGAAGAACCAGTCAGGATTTGAAGAGAGAACCTTCTTGTCGTGAGGCGACACACCCGCAACATATATGATAGCAGATAAGAAACTATAAGGTAATGAAGTCGCAAATTTTAATTCAAGGCTTGACTTAGATACTAATATCTTTGGTTATTCAGTAACTTGCAGGCCAGTAGGTTTTTGATATAGTTCACAGCTCCCTGCAATATTCTAGCTTCAGACTGTCTGTAAACTGACTTCCTATTATTGTCTGACTTCAAGTTTCTCCAAGCAAAACATGTACACACATTTAAAAGCGCTTGAGTTTAAATATGTAGAAAATTGGCTGTGACAAGCAAAAAACACCCTGCGAAAGATTTAAAAGCAGTAAATCTATATACGCACAGGTTTATTTCAGCACTACTGTAGGTAAAAAGCAGCAATTACTCATTAGACTGTAGAGGGTAAGTGCTTAGTTTAGATCATCTCATAACAAACACAGTCAAAAGAAACCCTGGCAATATGGGGTTGTTTTGCAGTGTGCTAGGACATATAAGCCACTGGGAAGAAAAAAATATATAGTCCCCAAAGATTCTTTGTCCAAACACATTCTCCTGAGGAGTTTCAGGAGTCAAGGAAACGAGCAACAGAGACACGGCTCTCTAGAGACCTACAGCAACAATAGTCAGGCAACCACTCGCGCTCCAACTCCTCTTCACTCATTAACAGGTTCCTGATCATTTTCTCAGAGACACTTGACATCCGTCACTTGATTGCCAGTTCTATTAAATAACCATTAAATAACTACGAGACCCTGAGAGAGAGTTGGGTTAGGAGGTCTCAGATGGGTGACAAGCTTTTCACTGGGATCAAGGTCTATTTTAAAAAGGTGCGACAGAGCACCACAACCTTACAACACTTAGGTCAAGTGTAGGAACAAAATGACAGTTAGTTGCAGGTTTTGATTGTATGTGGCGTTCTACAGTCTCCACGTTGTAGAGAGATTCCAGTGGAAGAGGTGTATCATAACATATGAAGATACTTGTTCATTTTTGAGAATATATTTCATGCAACCTACAAAATTGTACAGGGTCTGCAGGATTGTGTTATTTACAGTTTAGACACAGACAGGGTTATGGCACTTTATCGTTTCCATACGGGTTCATTTAACTCGTAATGTTAAGAACATCCCTACTGTATATTTTCGTAAAACCCACAAGCAGATAACATCTATTTCAGCAGGTAAAACAACAGGTATCATAACCATTCTCAGTGGATTTACCTGTTCATGTGGGCTGGGCCATACCCTCCAATAGCATACACCATGCCATCCAGCACAGCAGTGGCGAAGCAGCTGCGGGACTTTGTCATGGGTGCCACTGGCTGCCACTCCTTCAACTTAGGGACATATTTCTCCACCGACTGCAGGTAATACTGGCCGTCATAGCCCCCCAGAGCATACAGCTCTCCTGCCAGCACCACCACGCCAAGGGTGCTGCGGCACTCGGCCATGCGCTCCACTGAGGACCAGGTGTTGCTTTCGGGGTCCCAGCTCTCCACTGTGCTCTCGTGTCTCCGATAGCTGATGCCCTGTCTCATGTGTGTAGCAATGCCTCCCACCACGTAAACCTTGTGGTCCAGCACTGCTACACCGAATTCATATCGTGGCACGCTGAGAGGGGCCAGTCCTATCCATGAATCTGTCTGAGGGAAATACATTTCCATGCTGCAAGAGAAAGGCAGAATCTGATTAGTGTGGTTGCTTGCAACCAAAGGTATACCTCAATACAGAAGTTGAAAAGTTACCTTTATAACAGTGCTTAAATTATTATCCAGACATTCTGATCATTACCTTTCTAACGTGGCAAACAGTCCAGCCTTGCCTCCGACTGCAAGCAGCACTTTTGGAGCACACCTGGGCCGTGCTGACAAAACTGTCTGATAGGAGAGTCGGTGCTCTGGCATAAAATGATATTTGAGGGCCTCATTGAGCAGGTGCTTGCATGTGTGGTCATCTCGTATAAGGTGGTTGGCTTCATATAGGCGAGTGAGGAATTTGACGCTGAGGAGTGGAAGGCGAACACAGTGCAGCAGCTGTGCCAGATGCTGCTGTCTCTCAGTTACATCATATTTGATCCATGATTCCAGGGCGTAAAATACAGTCTCCTCCGTGACAACCTTAAGGCAGTCATTGGACACAATTTCATCCAACTCCGCCCTCGTCAGTTCAAAAAACTCCTCCGTCTGACAGACTTCCTCAAAGTTCTCACAGATGAACTTAGTTGCAGCCAGGCACAGATCGTGACAGCCGTATGTCTCTGCGAAGCGGGAGATGCCTATACAGTTCCCAGCATCCAGCTGGCTCTCTAAAAAGGAACAGCACTCCTTAAGTACTAGCTTAACCTGGAGTAAGTTAGCAGCCGGGAGCAAAGATTCCACTGTTTCCTGGGAGATAAACACAGTGCCAGTGTAGGCATATTCTACGATGGCCTGCAACAGAAAAAGTAAACATGTGACATAAATAAAAACCAGTGAGTGCAGTTAATGTCCGCCAGCTTCAAGCATACCTGCAAGGCAGTCTCGTCGATGCACTGGAACTCCACCTCTGAGGTCTCCTTCTCTGACAGGTTACCCGTGAACATGGCCTTGAAGTAAGGACTTATGCTGGCCAGCACTACTTTGTGGGCATGGATCTTGGCATCGCCCACACGCAGGACAATGTCACATAGTTCATGATCCTGCCGCAGGAGCTGGAGGCCTTGCAGCAGCTGCTCCGAGTGAGGCCGTGTGAGACTGGCAAACATGTAGGATTGGTCCGGCTGGTCCATCTGTGAGGAGGGGTCCACACATCAGTGCAGTGTTGACATTGTGATTTAGTGAGATCTCTAAGATTTACTGGCATGTAGCTGGAAATTAAGCAGCTGTCATCCTGAACACAAGCCCTAAGTAAACACAGATCTGTGCAACATGACACAACAACAACACGTGTATGACTCATTCGGGGATGTTTTGAAGTAACACGGTGGTAAATCAGACGTGTTCTGTTCGCTGTCCTCTAAGGAGCATGATCTTCTTAATCCACTACTAACGCGGCTTAAAGTTAACCAGTCGCACCGGCTAGAAAGCGAATGACTAACAGGTTAACCTCAAATCTACTGTCTAGTTGCATTTTTGCTTAATGACACCCAGAAACAGAACCGTTAAATGTTTCTTGTCTGGGGCCTTGGCTTGATTTATGTACACGGCTGGTCCACAACTCGCTAGCTACCCCTTAGCTTCACATCAGCGGACAGCTACTGCAGCTAACACACTTTCAAACAGCTCGGGTTTTTTGGGTCTTTTTTTGCACGGACAAAATCCCGCGGACATCATGTGTACATTAACATTCATGTCGCCGTCATAATGTCAACAACGTCCGACTCCAGCAAATACACGGTGCCAACATCTGCTCCATTGCATTGCAGTGAGCGCACGTTAGCTGCTAAAAATAAACACGGTTACTGTGGCTAGCTGCATCATTGATTGATATACAGTAACATGGCTGACAGACACTAAGCGTGACTTCACAGCTAGCTGCCACTTCACATGTTCACAGCGCCACACGCACAGGGACAAACCTGGAGCCTGTGGTCCGTCTTTAGCGCCGCTGGAAAGGTAACGACAGGTTTTGCAGTGTCGGAGTTCAGCGGCGACGAGTGAGGACCCCGGGCGGCGATGAGGAAAACAACCAGCTACCAAAGTGAAGCTAAGCTCAGAGCTACCGAGCAGCTTTTATACCAACCTGCCATCGGAGGAGCACACCCACTTCCGCTGCTTTCAAAATAAAACCACGCAGTCACTGCTCCATGCTTGACACGCAGAAACACTCAGAATCAGGTTTCAATGTTCAAACTTCAGCAGTATTTTCATTTTTAGAGGGAATAACACACCGTCCACAAGACCCGATTCACAACAACAGTGAAATGGTATACGAGTCCCAAATGCACATTTATTTTAA